AAAACGTAACCATTCATCATTAGATAAACTCACTTTAAGATGTGAGCACAGTCGTTACCAGATCAGTCTCAAACTATTCATTTTTGTGACAGTATTTAATTATGATCTCAGTGCAAGATAAAAGCTTCTGATGAAGTCTTTGTATATTCTCTTATAAATTTGATTACCGATTCATGTAAGACACTACTCATAAAAGTAGAGATTAAATGAATAACAATTGCCTTGAAATAAAATTGTTGCCAGAGAGAGAAAGGTGTGTATTTTCATTTTCCTTGGGTATAACAAGGGTGCTTGATGCTGCACGTGTGGGACATGGTGCTGAGGTCAGTTCCCTGGCACTGCTGTCATCCCACGGAAGCCAACTTTAAAAGGACTAAAAGCATCCATGGAGATGGGTTCATGGTAGGAACCCCATGTCACAGATGAGGCTGGTGGGTGTTGGGGAGGGTGTCATGCCCACCTACCTGCATCAGGACCAGGATCTGTGTTTTGTGTGACCACAAGGCCAGAGGGGCTCTGGAGGGTGGATACTTCAAAGGCAGTTATTGTGTGCACAGTACGCATGCAGAAGGAGCAAAAACTGTTTGTGGGGAAGAATTTGATCAAACAAAAAAATGAGAAGAGAAAAGGAGGAGTGAGAAAAGGAGGATATGGGAACAGGTTTGGAGAAAAGGGAAGACGAACAATTCAAGACAAATGTGAAACACTACCTCTCAATTTTGTCTGGAGCCAACCTAATGGCCACCAGGCATTTTCTGTGCTTGAGTGTGAAATTCCATTTCTGCAGTTAGCCCGAGTGTTTTCAAAAGAGAGGCCCGCTACTCTAGGCCTGGGGACACCTAAGACGAAGGATGAAGGACGCCTCTCATAGGCGGCCGCTTATGAGCACACAGCTTAAGCCCCACGGACACCAGGACCTGCTGGATGACTCATCCATTCAGGACAGCTGGTTTCTCCATTCTCTGTTTCAAAAATCTCCTGAATTGGAGACTCCAAAATCTCACATCTCACTTCAGTGGTCAAGCTCTTTGAGAGTAATTTTTTCCTGCTTCAGTGAACAACTGTTCCCACTTGTTTATTCCTCTGTGAGAGAGAAAGCTGTTCATCAGCATAAAGAAAAACCTTCTTGTACCTGACATTGTTGAAAAGTCATTATGTAACCATATCTCAGCCATTTCAGTCCCTTTGCATATTTCCCTAAAATTGAGAAAGTTTATATTAAATGAGATGCAGAGTGTATGGCACGGAGATAATGTTTGAATGCATTTTTGCATTTAATTCTCAACTTAGCCACTTACTGAGCACCTACTATGTGTAATTAAGGCTGTTAATGGCAACGTCCTTCTCTGGAATCAGTTGATCACGAATGTGATTTTGCACAAGTTTTTTTTTTTTTAAATTTATTTTTGAGAGAAAGTTTTGTTCTTGTTGCCCAGGTTGGAGTGCAATGGCATGATCTCGGCTCACTGCAACCTCCACCTCCCAGGTTCAAGCGTTTCTCCTGCCTCAGTCTCTCCAGTAGCTGGGATTACAGGCACCTGCCACCAAGTCAGGCTAATTTTTGCATTTTTGGTAGAGAGGGGGTTTCATCATGTTGGCCAGGCTGATCTTGAACTCCTGACCTCAGCTGATCCAGCCACCTCAGCCTCCCAACATGCTGGGATTACTGGCGTGAGCCACGGTGCCTGGCCTTGCACAAGTTTCTTACTCCTTCTAGGTTTTCCCTAAAAGTGATTTTGTAAAATGGTGATGATGATATTTAAATGATCATCATAACAATGGCATCTTTGAAATATGTAGAATGTCAACTAAATACTAGATGCTTAGTAAATTTTAAATTTTGGCCAGGCTCACTGGCTCATGTCTGTAATGCCAGCAGTTTTGGAGACTGAGGAGGGAGGATTGTTTGAGTACAGGAGCTCAAGACCAGCCTGGGCAACATAGTTGACTTTTAAATTTTCATATGATAATAGCCCTATTTAGAATTAGTGACAAAATGATGAATTAATTACTCAAAAATTAGGTTTGGAACAATGGTATAATCATATTTTTAAAGTTACATTATTATCCCCAAAATCTCAAATTACTTAATGGCTCTAGGTCTTCCGTAAAAGCGGAGTTGTAAAATGGTGATGATGAAATTTAAATGATTATCATGAGAATGGCATCTTTGAAATGTGTAGAATGTCAACTACATATTAGATCCTTAATACATTTTAAATTTTGGCCAGGCACAGTGGCTCATGCCTGTAATTCCAGCCCTTTTGGAGGCTGATTTTAATGGAAAACACAAAACTATAGGAGTACTAGGAAAATTTTAAGAGAAATATGTTATAGCCTTTGGGTACAAAGGGCCTTTCTTAGCATTACATCAAAGCTAGAAATTGTGAGAAAAAATATTCTTATAGGAATGATTGTACAATTGTACAAAGGTAGTCATTCAAAGATGTCAGTTGCCAAATAGTTTTACTGTTAATGACATGTAAAATGCTTAGTATATAATTTTACATGATAAAAATCATGCAAAAGCAGCATACAAAACTGTTCACTCCATATTCTATGCTATTTTGAGAATGCAACTTAAAATACCTACAGCCAGTTGTGATGGGTTACACCTGTAGTCCCAGCTACCTGGGAGGCTGAGGTTGGAGGATTGCTTGAACCCTGGAGTTGGAGGCTACAGTGAGCTATGACGGCACCACTGTACATCAGCCTGGGTGAAAGAGTGAGATCCAGTCTCCGAAAAAAAAGTTAACAAAGAAATTTTAAATTTTAATTTGGGGACTATGCCACGTGTAAAGGCTCACAGAAAAATCATGATTCAGACCTTACCCTCCAGGAACACGTTGTCTAGCAGGAGCCAGGCGATACAGGAGGGATGTGAGAAAGCGTCCAGGGAAACAGACCAGGGGTTGGGCTTGTTTGGGGGTGACCTGGAAAGGCTTGCCTGGGTAAGACGTGTCTGTGAAGGGCAGGGGTACAGGGGAAGGTGACATGAAAGCCTTAAAGAGGGGCAGCTGCCACCGCTGCAAGAGGTAGCTATTGAAAGTCTCATCTGGGAAGAAGCTGATCAGGCGGTGGCCTATTGTGACTGCATTCCTCTAAAACCAGACAGTTTCCTGTTGGCCAGCTGAGGCCCAAGCGTGGACAACAGCACAGCTCTCCCCGCTGGAGCCTGGTCTAGGAAGGACGGCAGCAGGAAGCAAAGTCCGTGTCTGGGGACTCTGAGCCCAGGGTGTAGGACCCTCGGCCTCTGAATGGTGCCGCTGCAGGACTGTGCCTGGGGATGCTATTGAGGTCGTGGGAAGACTCACTTGGACGTAAACTCCTGGTTGGCTGAATGGCTGCTGTTCTCAAATTCGCATAGATTGGACAGAGGCCCGTCATGGTGGAGGGAGCGGAGCCTGGCTCCCAGGCTCTCGATTTCCAGCCTTCTCTTCTGCTATCAAAGCCCCAGCCTGGGCTGGCAGCTTTTCAGGGAGGCTCGTCTATCTGTCGCTATGCAGCAACTCTGATTCCCATGAAGGCGAGTTTCACAGGGACGTCCACAGAGTAAAAATCCTTGAGAGACTAAACTGAGATTAAGTGGTAGAAAGCCTAGAACAGCAGTCCCTGACTGGATAGAAAATCAACAGATCCCTCAGAGAACAACGCCCCTGGCCACGTCCCGCCTCCAAGGGCCGAGGTAGGTCAGTCGTGCAAATGACAAAGCCAGTGGCTCCCTGGGCTTGGCTCTGCGTCTCAAGGGCCATCAGTGTGTGCGTGACATCCAGCATGAAGAGTGAGTTTGAATGGATCAGTGCCATCAAGACTCCTAATCTGTTTTGGAGAAGGAAATGCAGTTGACATAATTTCTGTCATGGGCTGTGTGCCCCACGCTCTCACGTTACCATGACTCACCTTGCAGGAAACTGATGTATAGCTGCGGATTGTGCTGGACCAGGGAACAATACCATTTTCAATGCTGAGAGGGGGAAAGAGTTTGCCAGACACATGGGCCTTGGGAGTGGTTTCGATGTCTGCCAGGCGTCAGGTGGCCTCCCTCAAATCCCAGAGTCTTGTTCACGTCACCACAGAGCATCAGCCAAGGCAAACACCACCTTCCTCACTAAGCATTTACCGTCCCCTGGTGGTTTCTGCAATAAAATAATAATCACTGCTCTTTCCTGAGAGCTAACTCAAAGCCCTGCAAGTTGCATCATCTTCAATGCCTGTCAGACCTAAAAGGCAGGATGGTCACCGCCATTTTGTAGATGAGGAAACTGACCTTGTTTGGGTTTGCACAAGCTTGGAAAAAGATTTGAACACAGGTGGGTCTAACAAAGCTCTTCTGTTTTTCCCCACCATATGATGCTTTACATTGTTCTAAAAGTTTGAGATCTATGTGTCTGTTACAGCCTTTGTTTTTTAGAATTGGAGTTCTCAAGAGACATTTGGGTCACACGGTGACTGTGCTGGAACTCCCAGCCACCTCCACTGGCTCCCTTCACCCAAACTGTAATCTTCTTGTTACTTTCCAGTCATTTGTCCTGAAAACTCATCAGAGATGAAATATTTCCTACCCTATTTCCATACTCTCTGTTTTTTTCTTCAGAGACAGAGTTTTGCTCTGTCACCCAGGCTGGAGTGCAGTGACATAATCACAGCCCACTGCAGCCTCAAACTCCTGAGCTCAAATGATCCTCCTGCCTCAGCCTCCTGAGTAGCTGGGACTACAGGTGCTTGTCACCACACCCAGCTTATTTTTGTCTTTTTGGTAAAGATGGGGTCTCACTATGTTGCCCAGGCTGGCCTCAATCTCCTAGCCCCAAGCGCTCACCTTGCTCTGGCCTCCCGAAGTTCTGGGATTGCAGGCATGAGCCATCTCACCCAGCCTCTATTTTCATATTCTTTAACTGCACATTTCCCTGAGCTAGTCTCAGATTCTGCTCTCTGTTTTTCTTACTGATTGTGCAGATTTTGAATGAAGCCTCTCTCTTCTGCACATTTGCCTTCCCCAGACAGAGCTTGCTGCGGAAGTAAAATTTCAAAATAATCCTCCAACGTGATTGTGGCCTAGAGGAGCAGAGCAGCGGTGGGAACAATTTAATTCCTAATACAGTCCATACCTCTAACTCGCTGCATGCGTGCCATTGAAACGCGAAGAAGTTGCTAGAACTCCTCCACTCCTACAGAGCTGTTGCCTCTCTGAGCCTGTGTGACAATGTTTTCTCTCCCTGCTGTCACTTAGCACTTCCTCGAGTCTCTTTGGATGGCACTTCATGATTTCTCCCTGCAGCAATGATGGAAATATGTCAGCTGTCAAAGGCTCTGGCAGCAGAAGGCAGCTGAGAATAAAGCGGCTTCATGGTAAAGTCGGTGACCCCTAACCATACCCCGCTTTTCACCGATGATTTGCCTGGACAATGTTTAAAGTGGATGAAATATATATTTTTTGAATCAGGTAACTTTTTTTGATAGAAGCTGGATACTTTTATTATGGATTAAACTTGATAACCTATCATTCTTTGGGAGAAAATATAATAACTTATTCTGGGTTGGTGTAATATTTAGATAGAAAGGCGTTTCCCTCTCTCTTCCAAACGAACCTCTCCAGACGTACGTTGCACAAGTACATTTGTCAAATGCAACTTCCTCTGAATTATAGAATAGATTAACTATGTTAAATAACCTTAACAAGGGCAGAAATGCAGAAGTTCATATGTGTACACTTGTGTGAATTTCCATCATTGTGTGAAATGTGTGCTTCTTAGATACCGTACTCCAGTGAGCACTGACGTGGCTTGTGGGTGACTTAAGGTTATAGTCAGAATCATAATGTTGTTATTGGCCTTGATCTTAGTTTCACATTACCAGTGTTTCCCACCACTTGACTTTCCTATTTTAAAAAAGAAAACTAAATCAAAATTATTCACACAAAATTGCCCCTTGTACACTTTGAATATTTTTAACGTTATCTGAGTAAAGTGATGGAGGGACTGTTTTACTCCTGATAGCCAAGACTGTGCACCTTAAAGACCAATTTACTTTTATAAATGCACAAATGCACAAATCAATTGTTTTATCACACTTTTAGCTAGAAGTCTTAAATGTTTCTAAACTTAGTAAATTTACGAGGATGAAAGTGGCCTTAGACTTTGCACCTCCTCATTTACAGATGAAGAGATGGACGTCCAAGTGAACCAAGTTGCCTGAGATCAAATAGCTACTTAGTAGATGAACTAGAACTAGAACTTGAACGCGGATTTCTGCCCCACAAATGAGCCATCTTTCTGCCAACTGCTAACTATATTGAGGTTGTGATCATTTTGGGTGAAATGATGCGTGCTTTCTTGTCTTCATTTGTTTTTATTGTGATTTTTAAATTCAAGGATATCTCAAATTACTGGCCCATTAAATCTTGGATTCTTTTGCTTCTTGAAGGCAACAGGAGATGACCAGTGCTGGGTTTCATGGGAACCAGAGGATTTACAACTTTGCCTGGGCTCCACCTACCAGCAGGAGCCTGATGAGGAGGGCGGCTGTGTTCTGAATTATTTTGAGGAAGTCTCGTTTAGCCCGAGACCATCCAGGCAAAACTGCCACAGGATCCTGCTGCTGCAGCAGGATGTTACCAAATGAGACGTTGACTCAAAGAAGGGGAGCTGAGATCAGGAAGGCCAAAGTGGCTTCCGAGAATTCAAACACTCCAAGGAGGCTGGGTGCGGTGGCTCACGCCTATAATCCTAGCACTTTGGAAGGCCCAGGTGGGTGGATCACCTGAGGTTAGGAGTTTGAGACCAGCCTGGCCAACATGGTGAAACCCCGTCTCTACTAAAAAAAAAAAAAAAAAAAATCAGCTGGGCGTGGTGGCAGGCACCTGTAATCCCAGCTATTTGGGAGTCTGAGGCAGGAGAACTGTTTGAACCCAGGAGGTGGAGGTTACAGTGAGCCACGCCACTGCACTCTAGCCTGGGCAAGAAGAGCGAAATTCGGTCTCACAAAAAAACACAAAAAACAAAAAACAAAAAAACAAAAAACACCAAAACCGAGAAAACAAAACCTCCAAAGGACATATGTGCGCTCTTGCTCTCAGGAGGCTTGCGATTCCTGGGGAGAAACTGATCACACACACACCAAGTATCGTAAAGTGATTCAAGGTTGCAAAAGGGAGAGGCAAGTTCTGAGTCTCCTCATGCCTCCCAGTTCCCTTCCCTGAATGGAGGGTCACTGACTAATTTGTCACATCCCAAGACCATGAGTGGCTATTTTACAAGTAGGCAAGGTCACCATGCTTTAAAAGGCAAAGCCCCGTGAGCCACCTCTCTTTGTTGGAAGTTGCCAGCCTCTGGCCCTCCTCTCATTTCTCCAGTGTAGGTTTGAGGTCTAGGAATGCTGCTGGTAGCTGTGGTCCGTCCCTTTAAGGACTGGGATTTGGAAGAGAAAGGAAAGACCCTGGTTGGAGCCTGAGCCTAAGCTGAGAGCTCCAGCCTGAGGTTGCAAAAAGGCCCAGCCTTGGGTGTGGGTTCTAAGCCCAGATGGCAATAAAGGGGCACCCTGTCTTCCCATGGGCTGGAGTTCCTTGTGAGAGTGCTTTCTTTGGAAATGTCATAACATTGACAGGGCAGAATTTCAGCATTTCTCACCCTTGGCCCTAATATCCATCTCCCAAATCACCCCCAGTACCAGGAATCATTAAGAAAGCAGTGGTAGTATTGAGACAACCAAAACGCTGTTTGTTTGAGAATCGTCACCTATAGCAGATGAATTTCTGGAAAAAGTGTCTTCAGCATTAGGCAGAGGCATGTTGTTATACACAAAGAAAGGCAGGAGAAAAACACCAAGAACTTTCTGGAGTAACTTCTCAACAGTAGGATGCTGTGTCGCCCTAGACAGCTCTATCAACACGTGAGGACTGGGAATCTAGTGGTGAATTGATGTGATTGGGTTGGGGCAGAAATGCCATGGGGTCTGATGCAGCACAGCTGTACGTCATGGAAAATGGCTACTGAGACAGGCAGCAACCAGATGTAGAATGAATCTGTTTAAGTAAAGAGAGGGTTTGCTTTAGGAGAGCAGGATGCAGGACCATAGCCAGAAGGAGAGAGCAAAACCTGTCTGAGAGTTGAGGAATTTGTGATGTCCTGCCTGACACACCAGCACCCCTGATGATGCTGTCAATGGCTTTCTCTCAATTAGGTCCCCTGGACAGGTGGAAGCCGAGGTAAGTTGGGTAACTGATGTCTTCATGCTTCCACAAAGGGCTCGCTTTGGGCAGATGGAACATGTTAATGCAGGTCCCTGAGTGAAGCAGGGAATTCTGAACACATTTGCAGGCCAGCGAAGGAAAGGTCCTTCTCCATGTCATGGTTCCACGTGCTCTCCACCATAAACTTGGAAGAATTCAAGCTGACACATCATGTGAAATTCAGGGTGAAAAAAGTCTGTTGAAATGGATAATGGAACGTGGAAGACCTGTGGAACATGTAGTTGGACCTTTACCTCTGTCTCTGTCCACGCAAAAGTCTGTAATAGAATGTGCAAGGATAACATCCTCAAATTTTTCAAAAATAACTTTACAGTTGATCCATTTATTTTGTCGGGGGGAGGTGAGGGGACAGAAAGAAGAATGGGAAAGAGAGTGAGAGCAGGGAAAGAGAAGAGTGATGAGTGAAGGGGAAGAGAAGGAATTTTCTAACAACTCCTTGCCACAAAATGATGAGTGATGGTGAGTGATCTAATTAGGTCATTAAGTGGGTGAAACAACATGGCCAAGGTAAACTTATGTAAACTGTTTCTTATTTAAATTACATTGGATACTTGGATCATCTGTTTAATAAAAAATCTCATCCACTCTTCAATATTGGCTTAAATCCTCTCCCCTTAACAAAACCTTTTCTAAGCACTGCGACTAGGACATTTTTTAAGTTCTTTTTACATTTTTTACCATATTATTTAGTTGAAACTAATTGCATGGAGCTCTATTTCACGTAATTACTTCCATGGGTCCATGAGTCTTATTTCTCCCCAAAGACATTTTTCTTAGGGAGGAAGAAACCAAGCTACAAACGTTTTTCTCATGTTTTTTTTATTCTGTGTTCTGTGCAGTAGATGCTGCTGAACATGTGCCAGGAGCCTGATATTTGGAAAGTTTGGCTCATTTTCAAGGCTATGCAATCTAATGATACGACAAAACCCAACATTTCTAGATCCCAATTAAGTACTTCATTGTCCTGACTTCATTCATCATAATGGGAAATTAACTTACTGTCTAATATCTCATTTTCTTTTCTTTAACATAGATAGTAATAAACTAACCCATGCGAGTGTTTTGAAGAATAATGAATAAATAAAATTTGCAAGAAAATGTAAGTATAAAGATGTATCTAAATGCGGGTAATATTAAATGAGACTGATAAAATAAACCAGCTAGTAATGATGTGGAAGTGGTAAGGTTAAAAGTTGCACTTTTAAGTTACATGTACACATCATTAAGTTACATGGACACATCGTTAAGTTACATGTACACATCGTTTTGCAAGCCAGATTTTTAGTAACTAAATAGAAAATGACTTGGAGAAAATACATGAGAGTTTTTGAGTAATTCTGAGGTGGGAGAGAAATTTTTTAAAATTCTGAGGATGTATGATGGGATTATCTAAGACTGTTTCTCTCTTAGTCTCCTCAACTCTGTTTATAGTGTAGACATTAACTTTGTTTATAAATTTAATGAATCAATTTTTGATTAGATAAACATGTGTATGGTAAAGAAATTCTGTGAGACTAAATAATTCTTCCCCTTCTGTCTCCCAGTTTCCTGGTTCTCTTCCTCAGAGAAAACTACTATGTTTCTTGAATTTTCTTCAGTGGTATTCTCTGTAGATACAAACTTATTTCTAAATGTGCCTTTCACTTTTATAGCATGAATGTTGGTGTTCTAAGCAAGGATTCTACACTTTGCTTTTTTTCACTTACCAATATGTCTGGAGATTGTTCCATACATACATGTCAATCCACCTCTTTCTTTTTAACACTGGAGTCTCTGATATATATATATATGTACACATACATATGTAGACTCTAGTGTTAAAAAGAAAGACTCTGATATACATATATATATCACACTTGGCCAGGCAGATGACTTCTCAGCTTGGCATTTTCAAGATTGTTACATAATAATGATCTTTTTAATGGATTTGTCCTCTTCAGAGCAGGTCTGGGCTTTTGATGTGCCATATGGATTATTGCTGCAAATTTATGAATACATTGCCTGGAGTTTCATTCACATTCAAATCTGTATTATAACATTCACAATTATATGACTTGGACCCTTCACCTTATTTTAATTTAGATTCATTGTAATTCTGGACTTCCATACCACCATTAGCCTTGAACTTATTTTGAAGCTCTCCTATAGGAGAGCTAGACAAGGATATTTCTTTTCTATTATCCTGGACAATATTCTCCAGTAGCAATGTACAAGGAGTCAATGGAAGCTAAATTGTTTGAGTACTCAAACATCTGAATATGTCTTTATTCTGTTCTCACAATTGACTTAACAATTTGACTAGTTATAGGTATGTAGGTTAAAAAAATTTTCTCCATAATATATTGGGCCTCAATCTGGCATCTTACAGTGTTCACTGTTTCTACTGAGAATTCTAATTCTTTTTCTTTGTATGTAACTTATGTTTAGATCTAGGTATTTAGGTGTATTGTTTAGGTATGTCCATCTTTGGATTTCTGATCTGTTGTTATGTGTATCTTTTTTCTTTGGTTGTGACAGACATTTGTTTAATTCTTTCAATTTAGTGAATTGTATGCTTTTGTTCTGAAAATTTTCTTGTACTATTTCTTTGACAGTTTCATTCCATCTCTCTGTTCTCTGCTTTTTCTGGAATTCATACTTTCCAGGGTATTGGGTCATCTGTATTTGTTCTTTACTACCTTATTTTTCTCATACATTTCACTTCTTTTCATGGAATGTCACTTCTATGAGGGCAGAGATTTCTTTCCGTTTTGTTCACTTTGTATTCCCACCACCTGAAACACTGCCTGGAACGTGAGATGTTTGCAGTTAATATTTATTGAATATTCATTTTCTGTTCTGTGTGTGTAGATTTCTTCTATCCTATATCCCAACCACATTTTGGAGTTTTAAAATGTCTTCGATATTTCTACTTTTCAGGAATTCTTTGTTTTCTGATTTTTCTTTTACTGTAACAACTTGTTCTTGTTTTATGGGTGCAATAGAATGTGTTGTGTTTCTTCTTTTAGCTCCTGCGTTACTGTGATCTCTTTTGACTTCATTTTTTCTTTATTTTGGGCTCTTCCTCATGTTGTTTTCTTTTTCTTAATATCTTCTGTGAACTTGGATGGGGATTGTCAACTAGAAAACTTCATTTTGGGTTAAGTGGTGGGCAGCTGGCTGTTTTGTTGGAGGAATTCCACAAATCAGAATGTGGAGGTCCTTGTCTGCAGCTAGTCAGTTTCTGCAGAAATGTCTGGGTGACCAGGAGGCTGTTTTTGCCAAGGGCCAAGGATGTAATCACGCTGTATGCACAGTTTGAATAAACACCTCTGTTTCCAGTCTCATGATTCACCTTGGCTTTAAGCTAAGGCTGGGACTTCCATATCCCTAGCTTCTCTCATTTAACTTTTCCATGAGAAAATAAAAACAAAACACAGCATCTTCCTACTTGGGTGGGAGGGGGTGGATTGGGCACTTGAATAACAGTGTTCTGGGAGGAGAGTGGAGGCCGGGTCCCAACACGGCTTGATGCTGCTTGTTTCTGATGCCGCCAATTCCTGAGTCTGTCTGGTATTCTGCTGAACAAGGTAGCTCTTTTCTAAATGGTCTGCTAACTGCATGCCTGTTGGTTTTGGCTCCCACTGGTCTCCATAGGGAGGCATTTCACAGAGGCAGGTTTCCCTGTTCTGTCCAGTATTTCATCTAAATTTTGCTGAAATTTCACACCCACTAATGTCCCCTTTCCTGCTTTAGTTTCAATGGTACCATTTTCATTCTCCCATTTTCATTTTATTGGACTTTGCAGAAGGTGAAGATACAAGCCTCTAAAGTCTACGCATTGTCTTTACCCTTCAGAAAGCTCCACGCTGTCTTAAGTCAGAACGTGTAAGAGCACTCAGCTGATGCTGATGGCTACAAAGAAGGCTTTGTTTGCCCCCGATAGGGGGAAGTACAGGTAACACCAATCCTTTCTTAGGACTCACAGGTACTCAGGGCTTACTGCATTTGAACATTGATCTACAGTCTAACAGAAAATGAATGCAGAATGTTTACTAACAGCTGGCTTAAAGAGGGGCCAAAGTAGCAAGACAGAGAGAAGGATGTCAAAGTTGGGTACTACGTGTTTGGCTGAGGATAACTCATTATTATTTACAAAAATAAGTATTTAATAGGCAAGAAAACTCTGAAATAAATAGCAAATTTTACACAATTATTAATTTCATTGTATTTATTTTATTCTTCTTTGTCTATAAAAATTACAAATATAAGAAATATTTAAAAACTACAAATAGATAACAGAATAAAAACCAGTCACAATCTTACTACCCAGAGATAACTACTGATATTTTTCATAGTTTCTTCTTGTAGGTATTTTAATTTACATTCTCAAAATAACATAAAATACGAAGTAAACAGTTTTGTATGCTGCTTTTAAAAAATCATGCAAAGACTGGGCACGGTGGGTCACACCTGTAATCCTAGCACTCTGGGAGGCCGAGGTGGGCGGATCATGAGGTCAGGAGATCAAGACCATCCTGGCCAACATGGTGAAATCCCCTGTCTACTAAAATACCAAAAAAAAAAAAAAAAAAAAAAAAAATTAGCTGGGCGCGGTGGCACGTGCCTGTAGTCCCAGCTACTCAGGAGGCTGAGGCAGGGGAATAGCTTGAATCCAGAAAGTGGAGGTTGCAGTGAGCTGAGATCACGCTACTGCACTCCAGCCTGGCGACAGAGCAAGAGTCGGTCTCAAAAAAAAAAAAAAAAATCGTGCAAAACAATATGTTAAACATTTTACATGTCATTAACATTAAAACAATTTGGCAACTGATATCAAATAGTACAAATGTAACAATTGTACAATTATTCCTATAAGAATATTTTTTCTCGTGACTTCTAGCTTTGATGTCATGCTAAGAAAGGTTCTTTGCACCCAAAGGCTATAATGTAGTCCACTTAAAATTTTTCTAGTACTCCTATAATTTTGTGTTTTACATTAAAATCTTTAATTTATTTTGAATGTATTCGGTATTGTGTAGATAATAATCTAACTTAAAAAATATGATTATCCGATTGTCCCAAACCCAGTTATTGAACAATTAATTCATCATTTTGCCACTAATTCTAAATAAGGCTATTATGCTACGAAAATTTCAAAATTAACTGTTTTTGGACTTTCTATTCTACTTCATGCACCACCACTTCCATGGTAAACCTAAAATGATTTAGGTATTCTGAAACCATTTCCACACTGTTTTATCTATCTATTTATTTAGAGATAGGGTCTTCCTCTGTTGCCCAGGCTGGAGTGCAGTGGCATGATCATAGCTCACTGCAGCCTTGAACCCCAGGGCTCAAGCTGTCTCAGCCTCCCAGAGTGCTAGGCTTACAGGCATGAGCCACCACAGCCAGCCTCCACACTGTTTTAATTTGTAGCAGTAATTTGTAGCTTTCTTTTATGTCTTGAAAAGTCCTTCTCATTTTTTACCAGAAATTTTTTGGCCAGTTGTTTTACTAGATGAATTTTATAATCACTATTCAAGTAAAATCAAACCAATCAAACAAAAGTAGTAACACAATTTGGGAACTTTGATCAATACTCTGATTTTATTTTGGCTGTATTACTTACTCACCCACTGATTTCTGGCAAATAAAATAGCATTCAGAGCCTGTTTCTTCATTGGTGAAATGAAGATAGTAAGATGATAACAGTATCTATCGGTTGAAAGCCTACTCTTCCCAAAGTGTTTGCAGCTCAAACAAGCATCTGCTTTGAGAACTATAAAGTGCTATGTGCCTACAGGTATCATTTAGCATTTATTTTAATATGTGGACTTTGACAGAAGAGATACATTTAAAGTATTAATCTTCTTGTGTGGAGCCTGATATCCTCTTATTGTTCTTCGATTTAATTTCAGATCTTTCCATAAAGTTTCAACAGTCTTTTCATGAAGGTCTTTCACACTTTTTTGGTCTTTGCACCATAGGTCTTTGCACACTGAAGTTTAAAGTGAAGACTGTTGGCTGAGCGTGGTAGCTCACACCTGTAATCCCAGCACTTTGGGAGGCTGAAGAGAGTGGATCATCTGAGGTCAGGAGTTCGAGACCAGCCTGGCCAAG